ATGCCCGCATGCTTGCATGTGTGGCAAACTTAGCCTTGAAATGTGAAAAAAAGGTATGAAGAACAAATTAAGTTATAAGCCAGCACAAACAAAAGTATCAAACGACTAAGTGTATAGTGTCGTACCTGAATTTTACTAAGCAGATTCTTGGTGCCGCCTGGCCCTACCTCCGCTATGTCATTCGATCCCTTCTTTTCGGAGCAAGTATTCCGCAATATGGACTTCTAAATGTTGAAGTTGAAGGAAATAAACATGAAAAATATGACAGAGTCTAGATAAAAAAAGGATTCACAAATAATGGCATGGCTAGTAATAAAATGGCCGTGTTTTGCCATTGCGAAGTTAAAATGAAGTAATTGAAAATGCTCGTTAATTTATTCTATTCTAAGAGAGTGTAGAATATATTTAGGGTTTGGGGTATGTTAAATTAAGCTTATCATAAAGGAAATATTTTGGCTAATGGTATCAGGTAGTAGTATTTAATCTCTTCAAAAACCATTTACAAGAAGGCTCTCTATCAGCTAATGAGTTGGCTGATATTCCTTGGCTGCTGCCAAGTATTGCAGTAACTAACATAATAAAAATGTTGCTAAATTTGATAAGCTTCACGTTAACGGCTAAATCGTTAAATACTCCTATTGGCTTTCTGTAAAGATTAGTTTCAGATTCTTGGAGTACAACTTTCGAGGTCTCAAGAGCAAATGAATTATCTTTTAATCGATCTCGAATGGTTGTTGAAGGCAATAATGATCATTTCGCTTTACAATATGAAGTGATCTAGAAGCTTTTTCTGAAAAAAAACTTGCCCGACAATCGATTCGATCACCAATTTTACACTCTTCCCTCCTCCATTATCTCATTTTATTATTGCATTTCCCTCACCTCTGTAACCAGTTGACCCCGACTTCTGTCCTGTTGATCCGCAGATTTTCCCGATTTTTGCTGGCTAGTTTGTTCCTTAGGCATTGCGTTTCGTAAAGTAGTGGGTCCAACTATAGGGCTCGAACCTGAAAAAATCCCTTCGTTGACAGCAGGAGTCTCAGGTAAGGTAGAACAATCCGCGAAAACCGATTCATCTAGATCAGCTCTCGTCTGTGAACGGAGGCAGTTAAGGAAGATGCAGCGGTCAGCGGCTTCTGTACAGAGCTGAGCCAACGCAGCCATAACTAAGGCCGTGAATTCGTTGAGCTTTGTGAGGTCGGCGGATAATTAAAGGAAAAATAAAGAAAAAAAGGCAGAGTGGATTGGTTGCGAAATAAAGAATAACAAGGTAATTAGTTTGAAATTTCTCTTATCTAGTGATTACTGGAAAATATAAGGACTATTTGAAATTGTATAGAGAATGATCAAAAAATAATGTTAAAAATGCAAGAGGATTGGAGCAAAATAGTTTGTGGGTGCTGATGATGATGATGATCTATTCTACTAAATAAAATTCAGTAGATACTACAAAGTGGATAAAGCTGAAGCGAATAGTTAGAAAAATAATGGAATTAATTAGAATAATGTCGCAAAAAATTAAGTATAAGCAAGGCCTTATTGTGATCTCCATTCCCATCAGCACCTACCTGAACCTGATGAGAGGGGGATTCATCGGCTGTCTCTCCAATCTTTTCAGCAGAGCTAGTAATTCTCAGATGCTGCACAAGCTGATCGATTAATAACTCGAATTTCATCAGTCCATCATCAAATCGCCTTGCTTGACTGTTGCTGTCACACACTTGGATTTTTATCCGCACCTGTAAGAGGTTAAATGTGTAAAAATTATCTTTCCCTCCAACAAGATAAATAGACCTTATTAACTTTCAGCTGGACTTCGTCTGTATAAAAAAGATAGTCTTCAAATAATCCATAAGGGAACGAAAGTTATACATATAAGAGCTGTATTCGCCGCATTTCGTTTAAGGTGATGAATGACTGATAGTTGAATTTTCCCATAATTATATAAGTAGGACTTACATTTTCATGGAATTTCGCATAGCCTTGCTATCTTATGCCCTGTGATACAAGGGGACTAGTAGCAGTCTGACTTAGTGGTTGCCGTGTCAAGATTATACGCTGCAGAACCAGGACTCGAGTCTCACTGTGAGCGTTGAGGCGGCCTAGGCCAGGTCAAACTGCAATTCAATCTGGATAAGGATAACTTTTGGGAAGCAAGGCCATGTGAAATCCAATGGAACCATGAGAGCTACATAATGTACCGTGGAAAAATTTAAATACTAGATCTTCATCACTTTGACTGAAATGAGGTAGTCTCAAAGACCAATGTATGATCTCAAATGGGTTTACCTGGCATTCTCAAAACACATGACACTAAGAATAAGCATTGACTAAGTACAAAGTATCGTGTTAAATTTCAACGACATTTTTTAGTTCAAAAAGTAGGTCGAAATCAGTTGAATCAGAGGACTTATTTCAATTTATAAATTTGTTGCTAAATTGGTGTTTCATCTTGAGCAAAAAAGAAAAATAGTGCAGATAGGATATAACATTAGTAGGAATGTAATGTAAGGTGAGAGTAAATCAATTATTAGTATTAATAGAATTTGTTTAACCTTGTTTTTGCAACTTGGTCATGTTGGTAGGAAGACATAGAGGAGTCCATTGTATGCATGATAAATTCCAGTCGGAGCGTAGAGGTGGTACATTTCCAGACGTTTCGCCGATATGGTAGTCGGCAAAATCAGTGAGTCTTGCCAGTGCTAGCACCAAACTACAACTCGCCAAAGAGACAAGTGAAGCCTATCCTTTGACCAATTGTCTGCTGAGCAATCGTGGTATTTCTACTTCCACCCTGGGCTTATCACCAATCCGATATTCTTGTATCACGCCATCACAAACCCTATTTTTTACTTGCTTATTTAAAACTAGTGTGGTGTGCGCTTTTGAGCGGCTTTCACGAAAAACCCCCCCAGTCTATGCTGAAGTTCTCACTCCTCTTCACCCTTGTGCTGGGAATGTGGATCAGAGTCTGCCATATTGTTACGCAGTCCTCCTTCTCTAGGTCTTATCAAAGTCTCCCTCTTTCCCTGTAGGATCTGTCTGATATCTCCCTGGTCCAAGTATTTCACTCAACCCCTGCCATCCCATCTGTACTACACACCCCATGCATCTGGGCGACTAATTCGAGGCTAAAGCGCCTGAATAAGTCTCATGGTCAAGCCTTTGCTACATGGACTAAGTCTATGTGGTAAAACAGCCAACTAGCTCTAGTATCTACCGCATCTATCCTGTTTCTATCCCTAATAGCAAGTCTATGACTTGCCATGCCCTAGTCTCCTGTGTGTCAACCCACAAATGTTGTGGTATGGCTTGCTTTGATTAGGTTCAATGTTGAACCATGACGTGTGCGGGTTGGCACACAAGAGACTAGGGCATAGCAAGTCATAGACTTGCTATTAGGGATAGAAACAGGATAGATGTAGTAGATACTAGAGCTAGTTGGCTGATAGTAGGCCTGTTTTACCATATAGAATTAGTCCATGTAGCAAAAGCTTGACCATGAGACTTATTCAGGCGCTTTAGCCTCGAATTAGTAGCCCAGATGCATGGAGTGTGTAGCACAGATGGGATGGCAGGGGTTGAGTGAAATACTTGATCCAGGGAGATATCAGACAGATCCTACAGGGAGAGCGGGAGACTTTGATAAGAACACAACTGTTTAGCACACATTTGGTCAAAGGATCGGCTTTATTTGTCCCTTTGACGAATTGTAGTATTGTGCTAAGACTGGCAAAACTCACTGACTTTGCTGACTACCATGCTAGCGAAACGTCTGGGAATGTACCGCGTCCCCGGTCCGACTAGTAATGATCATGCATACAATGGACTCCGGACTAGGTGCGTTCCTCTATGTCTTCCTACCAATATGATCAAGTTGCGAAAACAAGGTCAAACAATTTCTATACAACGAAAGTAGACTGCGACCACACCAAAGGCTACACAATATTGGCTTTCATACCTTCAATATTATCAATAATTGTGCCATTTGGAGCTTTTCAAACAGCAAAGCTGTTTGAGCTTATATCCACATAGAAATCTGCAAATCCGTTTAGACTTTAAATTACTTTTGGCCCATTATGAATGAAGTTGCAGAAGTGACAAGGCAGTCACAAAGATGGGCCATATTAACCAGTGCAGCCAAACAATTAATTTAACTAATCAAGCTCCATCTTACTTGGGCATTCGTGACGGCTCGTAGCACACGCTCCGCATAAGATAGATCGGCCAGATGAACGCGTGCTTTGTCCTCGAAAAGTGCAAGCTGCGCCTCCGCCACCTCTTGTCTTCGGCGTTCCGCTTGCTCTAGTTTTCCTAATTCATCGACCTCACAGTTAGTAATTAGACCCGAAATACGGTCTAATTGAGCCTGGTACGTCGCAATCTCAGCCATTGCATAATTTCCTCCCTCAGTAAATAGCCTGCCCTCCCCAGGAAGTTTTGAGGGTGAGTGCCGTGAAAAATGTAATAGGATTTTGTTTAAAAAAATTAATTGACGAGTAAAGGAATTTTAAAAGTGTGCTTTAATGGGAAAGTTAGCAGAAATTACTAGGCCTTTAAACGCTTAAAATAGGTCTAAAAGTTGCCCATAATTAAAAAGATAAAAAAACAGCGAGCACTCAACACTAACATTTTTCAATTAAATAAATTCCGTAAGCTTGGATAAAAAACCGATGATACCATTTAAATTTTCATATGCCAAAAGTATCGAATTTGAGAATTGAGATAATTTTTTTAAATATGGAGCTGAAGGCCTTCGTTTCGACGCATAAGTATCAAATTAGATAATTATTTGTGTTCATATAGTCATAAATATAACAAGTGTAAAAGTTAAGCAAGTGAAAGGATTCAAAGCTTTAAATGTCTATACCTTCGTAAAGGGCTCAGTAGGGATTTTCATTTCTATTCTTTAATACAATTTCATAAGGTCAGACGTCAATAAATTAAATAATAGAGGACTTCTTACAGAGGTTTGTGAGTGGGTGCGTTTATCGTAAGAAGTTTCATTTAATAATTTTTAGTGAATATGTTAAAATGTGTTATTTTCAGTAGTCTTATCAGCGTATTGATAGTCAAGAAACATATTTAGGATGAATATATGCATGTAAAGACGATATAAACATTAATCCATCAGACACATACCGAAAGGTTCCAGCCAAAGCAGTGCCTGAATCGCGCAGATTCTGCATTTCCTCCTCAAAGTCTTGACGGAAAACTCGCAACTTATGACGAACTGCATGCATGTGATTAGAAATGAACTTGTTCAGTACCGTTTTGATGGATTCCACTCTGATTAAGCACCAAATAAAAGGATAAAAAGATACTTAAGAGCAAAGATAAGTAAAACCATTATTCAAGCTAACCAGTCATAGCACTAATAAGAGTCTAAGGGATTTTCATATTTAGTATTCCTTTTTATAAGAATAGTAATATTAGTGGCCTTTTTTACTACGTTAACCACTACGCTAGAATGCTACGTGTGACCATGGATCAGAGAACAGATGTGAATTTCAAGCAGGCCTAAGCATTTTTTCCTGAGGGATTGTAAAAATGTCGATAAAACAAAACCAACAGTACTCTTTGAATTGCTATAGGAATCGACTACGTCACTTATTCGAAGGTATGAAGATCAAGATGGTGTGGTCTTTAGTATCGACGCGGTATCTTTTCGTTGTATAGAAGTTGTTCGACCTTGTTTTCATAAATTGGTAGTATTGTCAGGGTGACCTGGAGGAACGCAACTTGTCCGGAGCACATAGTATGAATGATTATTTCCAGAGCCGGACCATGGGCTTGGCAAATTCCCAGATTGTCGCCAGCACTGTAGTCGGAATCTTTAGTGAGCCTTGCCATTCTCAGCACGATGCTACAAATTTCCAGATGCAAATGAAGTCAACCCTCTAACCATTTGTCTGCTAAACAGTTGTGGTATCTCTTAATCTGTCCTGGTGTATTCACCTGCCTTATATCGCAGTAACACCCTTCACTATCACATTTTCTTACTGGCTTTTCTAAATCTAATTCAGATGCGCCTTTTAGAGAGAATTTAGTCAAACATATTCACACTCATCACTAGTCCTCTAATCCCCCAGTCCACTGGGATGGTAGTATCGATCCAAAACTGACGTTTAGTCCGCAATATTATAAAAAAATATTGAAGTTGTTTGACCTTGTTTTGGCAACTTGGTCATATTGGTAGGAAGACTTAGGGGAACGCACCTAGTCAGGAATCCATTGTATTCATGATAATTTCTAAAGTCAGGACGTGAATGTTGTACATTTCCAGACGTTTCACCGACATCGTAATCGGCATCGTCAGTGAGTCTCGCACCACATTACAACTCGTAAAAAAGATGAGTGGAGCCGATCCTTTCACAAAATGTGTGCTAAACAGTTGTGATATCTCTCCTTCTGTCCTGGACTATTAACCTATCCTATATCCTCGTATCACTCCTTCACTATCACAATTTTTTCCTAGCTCATTTAAATGTAGTATGGCGTGCCCTTTTGAGTAGCCTTCATGAGAACCCTCAGCACTCCATGCTGGGGTTCTCACCCTCCTTCTGACAGTAGGTCTGTTTTACCATAGACGTGGTCCATGAAGTAAAGGCATGACCATGAGAATTACTCAAAGGCTTTAGCCTCAAGTTAGTCTCCCAAACGCAGATTGTGGGAAATAACGTCTCGAGTATCACAGATGGAGTGGGAGGGTTCGAGTGAAATACTTGAACCAGGGAGATAACAGACGGATCCTACGGAGCAAGGAGGAGACTCTGATAAGACCCAGAGAAGGAGGACTGCGTAACAATATGACAGACTCGGATCAACATTCCCAGCACAAGGTTGAGGAGGGGTGAAAGGGTGAGAAATCCAGCGTGGAGTATGAAGAGTTTTCATCAAAACCGCTGAAAATGGCACACCGTACCACATTTAAATAAGCAAGTAAAAATGGTGATACTGGAGGCGCGCTGCGATGATATCAAATAGGTGAATAGCACAGGACAGAAGAAGAGAATTTCGAGCCCTCTATTTATATCAGGCTGCTACAATGTTGCGCTATTGTGGTAGTGTCTATGCGCGTGGAGACCTGCCGAATAACCCATAAGAGACTATACGGACACAAAACAACTTGTAAAGGTAAGTGGGTCCAAAAATATGAGTTTACTAAAAACATGGCTAATAAAGGAAAGTCATTAGACCAGTCCAAAACACGCTTTGTTAGTTAGTAGAATTCACATCAAAGCGTAAGACTAGTGGGGCCATAGGAATTAATAAAACAGCCAACTTCCTGAATAAGAGGAATAATTGTAGGAAATTGACTACGAACTATTTGTGGCTATTGGATAGGTGTAAGGTGAGAAAGGGAGATCAGGAAGAGTCAATGAGCAAAAGAAAGGGGTTGAATGAACCTCTAGTCTAGCTAGGACTATCACAGCCCTCATGAAATGAACATTACATATACACAATAAACAATACCACACACTTAAACATGAGTCAATATTAGAGGATCGTATTCTAGTTTATTTAGGTAAAGAAACCGTGTTACCTGAGCAAACTGTGGAGGCCTATCCCTG